TGGGGGGTTGCGGACGGTCAGTGCCGCCGCCACGTTGCACGAGGGATGTTTTGGTGATCCAGGCTCCGCGTAGGGGTGGGAAACAGGTTGGGCTTGGTGGGCTTTGGGTGTAATTCTCCTGCTTGGGTCTGGGTGTCCGGGGAGGGTGGCTGCTGGGGTATGGACTGGGACCTCAGCAGCGAGCCAGGGCAGGGGAAAAAGAGAAAACTGTCTCCAAAATACTGTTTTTTGCGTGTTTGAGGGTATATGTGTTGGCACGTGTGAGCCCCTGTGTGTCCTGCTCCAGCCCAGTCCTGGCAGCACCACTAAACCCTGCGTGGACGTAGCACAAAGGGCTCATCCATCCTCGTTTATTGACTTCTCAGCCTCTCCTGCCACTAATTAGTGAAGGAGGGGCCCTGATGACCGTGTGGAAATGCTCAGGGTGGTGGGTGCTGTGCAGGGGATTTGCAGGTCCCCAAGGGGAAATTTAGCCTGGCTTCTTCCCACACACCTTGGCAGCATCAGCAAAAAGCAGCAAATAAGCGGGGTTTTATCTGATTAAACCAAGGCTGAACTCCCTTCCCATACACTGGTGCTAAGGTGCTCTTGGTGCTCTTGGTGCGCTGGCTTGGGGTGTTGATGGATTTATGCTCCGTGCTGAAATGCAGGAGGCGTTTTATCAGCAAATCGAGTCAATACATAAGCAAACGTGAAAACGGATGACCACAGTGCCGCAATAAACTGCCTGCCAGGCCAAGGGCAAGTCACGGTGGGGATGCTGGGGGTTTATCCTTCTGCAGACACTTACTGTTCGAAGCCAGGGGATGAAAATGCTCTGAGGGCACTAAAAAAGTGTGGGGCTAGGGAAGGGTATTTAACTCGAGTCCTGTGCACAGGTTTAAAAAGGTATGCTTGGAAAACAGACTCTTCAGGGAGCTGCCAAGGGCTGCCAAGTCTCACACTGGTACTGGGATTTTTTTATGGTGTTTCTCCACTTCTTCACATCCCCAGCTGTTCGAAACGTGTTTATCTTAAAACACAGATGAGGATGTTTTCCTAGGAGGGAAAAAAATTGCAGAGGGCCAGCAGGAACTCAGGGTAACAGTTGTAACCTGTTTCCCTCATTTCTTGATCTCAGGAGGAGGTTTTTTTAGGTCTGGTCATGGGTGAGCAGCAGTACTGAGGGATGCCCTGACCTCTGCTGGGAGGAGAGACCCACCCCGGGAGACTCTGCCAACCTCCCCCTCCTTCCCTTTCCCCCGGTCACCATTACTTGGGGACATCACTCTGGCTGTCCCCACCCCTCCCAAAAGCAGTCCTGTGCAGTGGAATGGGGGAAAAAAATTGTTTCTCAGGAGCCAGGAGCTGACTCAGCTGGAGTTTGCTCTCAGAAGTCATCCCACCTCTTCCTAGCCGCCGATTCCCTTTTTTTTTTTTTTCTTCTTTTTTCTTTGAGCAAAATAAACCAGCAGCGACTCGCAGAGGAATCACAGTCCCTGCTGATAGCGCGGCTGCTTTCTTGAGCCTTATCTTGAAGAAGCAGACAGGCGGGTGGGAGCCCAAAGAGCAGTCATCTCTCCACCCAGCATCTCGCCTCGCCAAGTTACCCAGTGTAATCCAGAGGCTTTTATTTCCTTGTACGACACGATATCAGCAGCCGGCAGCTGGGGCTGGAGCCGGATAGTGATGGTAATCGCCCACCCTAAAACATCGTCCTGGTTGAGAAGGGAGCAGAGGATGTGGTGTCTCTATTAAATCGAACTCGGCTCAGATTTAAGCGCTATTCAATGCAATCCAATTAACTCTTAAATTGAATTGTAATGCTTTGGCTAATATACCCCCCTCCAGCACGGCTCCCCCTTAGCACCAGTGTATGGGAAGGGAGTTCAGCCTTGGTTTAATCAGATAAAACCCCGCTTATTTGCTGCTTTTTGCTGATGCTGCCAAGGTGTGTGGGAAGAAGCCAGGCTAAATTTCCCCTTGGGGACCTGCAAATCCCTTGGAGGCTGGGATTCCCCATGGAGAATCTTTGATTTTGGAAGTCAAGAAGGGGGGGGAAAAAAAGCCATTTGCCCCACCAGTACCTCTGCCCTGACATTGTCCTGAGGATGGGCTTGGGTGATGGTGTGACCTGACGCTGCCCTCCCATCCATGTCCCGAGGGGATGGGTAAGGTTGATGGGGACACTGGGCAAAGCAAATGAAGGCGTCATTATCTCCTCACGGCTTCATGAGCTTTTGTTACAGAAAAGAGGGGAAAATGAGATTTTTTTTTTCCCTCTGATCTTCCTAAACTGCTGCAGCAATTTTTTTTTTCTCAGATGTGTAAATCTGAGCTTATCGCATCTTCAGAACAATTAAGGAATTGGGCTTAATACTCATCCAGGGACGTGTTATTTGTTAGGCTGGAGGGAGATTGTGTTGCAGAAGACGCTGGTGTGCTGCCAGGGACTCAAATGCCTCCGTGCTCACAAGTGAAATGAGTTAGCCCGTCCTCAGCCTCTCTGCTGGGCGCATTGCTACCCCCTCCCTGGCCAGGGATGGGGTCAGGCCACGCCACGCAGATGCAGCATCCTCTGACACACCCTACTGTGGGCCATTTTTGGACCCATGGGCTCCCTGTCTGCCTCCTGTGGAGGTTTACTGCCAGCTCACCCTCCCTGCTTTGCTCCGCGCTGCTCCTTTGCCCGCCTGGAGACGAATCAATTCAAGCTAATCGGGTACATCAAAGCATCTCGGAGCAATTTGTTAAGTAAATAAAAAAAAAATCTTGGCCTAAGCAAATACGGGTAGGAGGGGGATGGCTCGCTGGGGCAGATGAAAGGCAGGGGAAGCTTCAGAGGCTTGGAAATGATAGGGGGGTGGAAATCAAAAGTAAATAGTGAGTGCCCGGAGTTTCAAAGCTTCCATCATTTCAGACATGGATTCCCAGCCTTTCATCCCGGACCCCTGCGGGAAGGAGATGCAGCTATCTCTGGGTGGATTTCAGATAGGAGATGTAGGGGAAAATATGTTCAAATACCCTTAACTCTGCCCCCAGCCCTGTAGGCAGCGTTGGGGTGATGCTGCCTGCCTGGAGCGGGACCTGGGACAAGGGCGGGCAGAACTATGGGATGGTGGGTCTCTGAGCTGTGCTGGGCTGGGACTAAAGGCCAGGGATGGTTTTCCAGCCAATGCGAATGTTGTCTGAGTGTAGTGCCGTGAGTGAACGCAGCACCTCCCAGCGCGGGCAGGGAAAGCAGCTGCCCAGCCTGGGCGAGCCAAGTGCAGGCCCATGCATTATTGATGGAGCAGATAATTGCACGCTTCCCACCGGCTCTTTGATGAAAAATTGATGGCACAGGACGAGGAATTGAGGGGCTCCATTGACTGACACTGGCCGCTTTGTTTCTTAACAAACATTGAAGGAGGTGTGGATGCAGGATGCTGCAGCATTGTGGGAAGCACAAGAGCCCTTGTGGGTACCCCAAAAGTGGGATAGGACTGGGGGACAGCTTGGAGAAGAGCATCCTTTGCCTTCACACACCATAAATTCAATCTTGGGATCAAAGTGGGGTTTGATCAGTGAATTACTCTCTGCTCGGGATCAGCCCAAGTCCCAAGGCGGAGCCGAAGCCCAATGCCACCCAGCACCTCCAAGACATGAAGTTAATTGAGCGTTTGAAACATCAGAGGAGCATGCTGGGAGGGGAGAGCATTTCCACGCTCGCATCCAAGGCATGGAAATGAGGCACTGTGACTGTCAGAGCCACCCGGCAGTGCTGGGGTCCGGCGGTGGCTATGTGCCTGCCACTGAGTCACCTCCTCGTGCCTGCGCTGCTGGGAACAGGAGATAAGGCAATGGGGGCTGAAACCGGGATGGGGATGGGGAGGGAGGGAGGGCTGGGGGCAGCAAGGGGCTGGTGTCTGAAAGGGAGTGCTTGCGGGCAGGCAGCACTTTGGGCAGGAGCTGCCTGCTGCCCTTTATGGCTTTGGAAGCGGCTATAGGATGTCAGTGGGACGGGAGATGGTTGGAGGGATGCTGAAGGGGAAGAGATTCAAGTGTCTGGGGTGAGGAGCAGCAGAACCAGCTGCCTGCACCTGCCTGTACCCGGATTGCACCCATCTGGGTGGAGCTGGGTGATCTGAAATGCTGAGCTGCTGCAGGGAGGGGTTGCTAAGAGGAGGGTTGTGTTGTAGCAACAGCCACAGACCTGCCCTACCACCTAAATCCCATTGCCAGCAGAAAGGGCCTGGGAAAAACAGCTTTTCCTCATGCTACAACCCCCCGGCATTACCGTAAGTCCACTGGCCGGCAGCTCGGGTGGTGGTGCGGGGATGGGACGTTTGCTTGGGGGTGGGTTTGTTTGGGGCAGGCAGAGCCTGGCAACCCACTGTGGGCAGGTCTGGCTGCCAGGAGTGGGGTGCCAGGGGGACGGGGGCACCCCAGGAGCGGGGATGATGCTGTACTACAGACCCTTCTCCTCCACTGTGAGTGCCGGGGGGTGGTGGGTGAGGATGGGGACGTCATCTTGTCGCTGGTGTCACCAAGGGGAGCTGTGGACCCAGAGGTGCCTGTTACTGGGACAGTGCCTGGCTGGGGTGGCCCTCGGTTGTAGCCAGATTTCCTCCCAAGGGTGAATGGCTCAAGGGTCCAGCCATTAGATGCTGCTCAAAGCCAGGAGTTCCCATCCTCAGGAGGTCTCCCAGCCCTGTGGCCACACCACATTGCATCCAAACCCCTGGGTCCTGACCCCAAAGCAATGATGGCAAAGGGGTTTTGCTCCAGGTGAAAGCTAGGAGAGCGGCTCAGCTGTGGGGAAGGGGCTGAAGGAGCTTGCTGCTCCCCTTGGGGGGCTTTCCCCAGCCTCACCCTCAGCTTCTGCTCTGATATCTCCTGCCAGCTACACCAAGACGACGTGTCCCTCCCTGCGGCTGACGCCATGGCCAGCATCCTGCCTGGAAAGCAGCCGTTCCCACATGGGATGGGAGTGCCATTGGAGGAGCAGAGGTATGGGGCTGCGCCAGGTCTTCAGCCCCCTCTTAGCCCCTTCTTACCATCCTCCTTGGGGTGGTTTCCTCCTTCCTCCATTCTCCCCATGTTTTCCCCAGCAGCTTCTCCTCCTGTCCCATCACTGCCAATTTTCCATCCTCCCTGCACCCCCATCCCCACCAGCACTTGCCTTGCCCCCTGGCACCCCAAAAAGGCTCCTGTGTCCAACAGAGGGTTCCCCAGCCAAGGCTCTGCCAATGTTTCAATACAAGGGGAGCAGCTGGCCAAGTGTGTCTCCCTGCTCTCTGCTCCACAGGTCCCAGGAGATCATCGAGGAAGAGCCGGTGAGTGCCAGGGATGCCAGAGGAGAGGGGGACACTGGGGGCATTGGAGGGGGCAGCAGTGTCCCCAAGGCAGGTCCTGGCTCCTGTGAGAGCCAAAGTTAGGCTGTTGTCAGCTCTATGCTTCTGGTGAGTGAAGGTCTTGGGGGTCAGCCCTTGAGTTTGGCTGGAGGGGGCTTTATCTTGTGTGTGAACCCAGTCCTGGATGAAAGAGCCCTCAGGCAGATGGGGAGGAAGGAGCCGAGCCTCTGGAAGCACCTGCCCCCCCTTTTCCCCCTTCCCCAAGGCTGCATGATGCTGCTGCACCCCCTCCCTGCACCCTGCCCCTCTCTCCTTGCCAGCTGCTGGCCAAGGCCAGCCCCAAGGCTGGGAGCAGGAGACCAAGGGAACTGGAGGCACGCGGTCCCCCCCAGCCAAGGTCCCTGCTGCCAGGATCCTTTCTGCAGCCCAGGGTGGCTGGGAGATTCAGGAGGGTCAGCCGGAGCCATGGCAGGGCTCTCCCTGCGAAGATCCTTCCCCCCCAGCATCACCTGGCAAGGCATCTCCCAGCACACAGTGCTAAAACCCTCAGGCCCATCTGTGTAAACCACCCATCCCCACATCCTTTCTTCTAGAGGTCTGAAAAGCTCCATAAGGCTCGGAGCTTGAGGCTGACCCCCAGCTCTGACACTGCTCCACCCCACGTCCTTGGGAGAGTTGCTTTTCCTTCAAAGGGGTGGTAGGAAGAGTTGGGGAAATAGCGGGGGGTCCTCCAGGTGGAGGGAGAGTTGGGCAGGTGGGGAGATTTGGAGGGATGGATGGCTGGAGAGAGAAGGAAGGAAAGAAGGAAGCAAACAAGCAAATAAGCAACAGGAGGGGGAAAACGGGATGTTTCTTAGCTTCTTCATGATGGGTCTGACCCCCAAGACAAATATCCTCAGCTGAGCTCTTGGTGCCGGGGAAAGCCCAGGTGGCAGTGGGGTGCCAGCAGCTCTGCTCTGGACTGGCAGGAGGTGGGCAGCTACCGCCTGGCACTGCAGCGGATGGCAGGGGACCTCCTATCCCTGCGTCGGCACGTCACCAGCCTGGAGGTGGAGAACGGGCAGCTGCGGCACAGCCTGGCCTCACAGGAGGAGCTGGGCCACACTCTGCTCTCGGACACGGACCTGGACGTCATGACCCGTGAGGAGCTGCTGGACAGGCTCGGTGTGTGATGGGGAAGGGGGAGGCGGAAATCAGGGGACCCCTCTCCCTGGTGCAGCGGAGGGCACCGTGCCATCCCCTGGCCAGGTGACGAGGACATGGCATGGGCTGTTGCAGCCACCCTCAGGCGCAAGCTGCTGGCCGGCACGGAGGAGAAGAGGCAGCTGAAGGATCGTGTCCAACAGCTGCAGAATGAGCTGATCCGGGTATGGACACCGGCAGAGGTGGGCAGGGGCTGCTGAGGGGATGGGGTGGGAGTGTAGGAGCAGGGGAGGCAGCAGTGAGAGCATCACAACAACCCCCTAGCCACGCAGGTGACTCAGACCCCCAGCACCCCCCCATGAGGCTCTCCCAGCCCTATAAGCGATGCCTGAATGCTTGAGGCTTGGCACAAAGGTCCCTTTGTGCCAAGAAGGGGTTTTTCCCTTACTTGCCTGACAGAAAAATGACCGGGAGAAGGACCTGGTGCTGCTCCAGCGAGCCCACCAGCAGCAACAAGCCACACTGAGGAGGTGCCAGAAGAAGGTGGCCAAGATGAAGGGCTTGGAGGACACAGTGCGGCAACAGGAGAAGGTGGGTTGGGGGACACGAAGTCGGGGTGAGAAGGGCAGGTTGGGGGGGCATGAGGCTTCGTGGAGCAGATGGGATCCTCCAGCCTGTTCCATCCTTCCATGAGCACTACGTGATCCCAGGACCCCGGTGGGAGGGGAGATGTTACACCCTGCATTAAGCTGGTGACGTGGGGACAGCTCTGCTCTCTCCCGCAGGTGATCGAGGTGATGGAGCAGGTGCTGCAGGAGAAGCTCACCGGGGTGGGCAGGAGCGCTGAGAAGCCAGCGGGTGGGTGCAAGTGGGGACAGGGACCCACATACAGCTGCTGGGCTCTGCTGGTGGTCATCCCCTTCCGATGGTTGGCATCATGGGATGGTCTGCAGTGAGGGACCAGCGGAGGTCCTCCCGCACCCATACGTGGGCATGGGAAGGAGGCCAGGGGCTCACTCCAAGCCCCCAGCACTGCACAAGGGAGTGCAAGGCATGTCCCAGTGCCCCCCCCACCCCATCCCACAGGAGAAACCCTCTCTGAGGAGGTCCACGCCGTGCTGCTGGCCGAGAACCGCAGGCTGCGGGAGGAGCTGGCAAGGCACCCCCACCCCAAAAAGCCCCCAGCCCTGCCGGTGAGACGGGGGGGAGGGCATGGGGCTGGGATGGGGGACAGAGCTGTGGCACCCCAGAAAGTAACACCAGAGGGTAACTGGGCACACCGGGGGCATCATCCAGGTCCATCTCCAGCTTCGTGGGGTGATGGTCACCCCTGAGAC